TCGGCCAAACACTAACATATGTGTAAGCGCCAATCTATTATTATTAATGCTAATGAAAAAATTTTAATGCACTAAAATGCATTATTAAAAACCATAAAAGTTTTTTCTAGTGAAATATAAATAACCACTTTTGGAAGGACTTGGAATAGTTACCAATAGTTTTTTCAGCTTCATTATATTATGTGTATTTGTAGAAAAATTCTTCTAAACATTCTTAGATGTTTTATGAAAATAAAAGCCAATATGCATGCAAGAGTTCTTTTGTAGATTTTTATGTTGATTGTTGATGCATACCGATTACATATATTATAAGCCAAAAACGGACAGCTAGCCAATTTAGCAGCGCATGTACACGACTGAGGACCTACTCTGATCTAAATCAATCAATAAACCATTTTTAGTTCCATTTGACAATGGGTTTTTACCTATTTAACGACAAATGCCATTGAACTTGACATAGTGGAAACCAGTCTTAACGTTCGTCACTATCTTTTTTGACCTTAAAATTCTAATTTTTAATGCTTGTTAAATTTTAATGCAATAAATTATTGCAATAGCATTAATTTAAACATTTTAATGTAAATACAAAAAAAAAAATAATCATTAACATTATTTCTTCGGAATTAATGCACTGAAATTTTCATTTACATTAAATATCAAAAATTAATGCATTAATTTTTTCCATTTACATTAAAATGCTATGCATTGAAAAATTTAATGCATTTTTCACAACTCTGGTAAATATGTATGAACATATGCATTTCATTAATTCAAAATTGTGAATAAGTCTGATGTTAATATACACATGGTCGTTTAAAGTACAAAACCGCGTATCAACAAAATGCAAAACCGCCTATCAGCAAAATGCAAAACCGCGTATGTGAAGCTGTAGAAATTATTTTCTAGAGAGTAAAAACACTCCTGTTTCAAAATGGTTCTCTTCTCTATAAAGCAATCGCATTTCTGGCTAGTATATTTCAGGATCAATGGATAAGGATTGAGCCAATTTTTGGCAGCAAATGTCAGTTATGCGGTTTTGCAGAATGACGATACGCGGTTTTGTCCTTTAAACGACGATATGTAATCTTATAAGCTTAGTGTTATATTTTATGTTTTTTCCATCTTTATCCCTACCTCTACCCTTTTCGTTCTAATATCGAGAAAAATATCGATAAGTATCGATAAGGAAACCAATAAAATATCGATAACAAAAACTATAAAAAATATTGATAGCAAAAACTATAAACATATTGATAACAAAAATTATAAAATATCGAAAAAATATCGATAAAAAAAATCTATAAAATATCGATAGCATAATCGGTTATTTTATCGATAACAGTATCGATAAATACATATGTTCATAGATATGTATATCAATGACAATATCGATAAATATGTTCATAAATGTATCAATAACAATATGCTTTTTTATATCAATAAAAATATCGATTATTACATATAGATAACAAAATCGATTATGTAGATAACAATATTGATAAGTATATCGAAAACAATATCTATAAATACAATGAAAATTCCGAATCTCGAAATAGTCTCGAGAATCCGGAAAATCTCATTACTTTTATACTAATCTTTCTTCCTCTATGTTCATTTTACATTTATCGGTATCTTCATCCTTATCTTTTTCTTAATATTTATCTTTATTTTTAGCTTTCATCTTTTATATTTCGGGACCTTTCGCGACTTTTCGAGGCCGTTCAATTTTTTTTTTCTTTTTTCGAGTTTTACTTTTCGAATTGTTTTCGTAACGTTTCGGTTTGAGATTTTTGGGGACGGTTTGGGATTTTTACATCCAAAAGTACAATTTAATCATAACTTTGCTTATAATGAATACCTAACAATTAAAATGCAAAAATTCGAGTTAATTTCTGCTCAAAAAAGTATCTTGCGAAATTTTACCTTAAAAACTACAAATTTTAATGAAATGTTTTATTTTTTGGTTTGCAGCCCAGCTCAGGAGTACAGCTAACCAAATCACTCGAATAGTACATTTTAATCAAATGAAACTATTAAACTGCCCGCGGCTGTAGTTCAAGTAATAGTGCATTTACACAAAATACTCACATCTAAATGTTCCTTTGGCACTTCAACTTCTCCGCACATTGTCACCTTTTTACAGTTATCGATGCAATGCGTCAGCCCATTTTTCACAAACACTTGCGTACTGTTACATTTTCTATGTGAATCAAATATTTTAAGAGGAAATTAATACATTTTGTTATGCGCTTTCCGTTGTTAAGTCGGTTATAGTTACACCAACCTGTTAAGCCTAATTACACCCTTTGTTTCGCGCACCATTAGCGCTTGTTCCCAAAATTGTACAGCCTCTGGTAATACTGTGTTCTGTAAGTTGAATGAATGCATAATTAAAAAAAAAATATAATAATAACAAGAAAAGCATGCAATATACTTACGTTGATCAACTCGAACTTATCTTCATCTAATCTGTTAAAAAAGAGAAGAAAAATACAGTGAAATAGAATAAACCAACGATTTTGTTTCGAAACTGGCAAGTAAATTATTTAATAATAAATGCATACATATTTAAGATGTTCATTAGGGTGATCCTTAAAAATCAAATGAAGGATTTTTTTCAGTCTCACCCCCTCGATCGGTAATACCACGGTCACAGATATCGCATATAAATTTTGGTCCCGATTTGAGTCGGTTATGTCGTCTTCATAGGGTGTTCTGAACTTTGACCCCTGTGCGACCCGCTCCAACCGTCTCCAATTGGGACCAAAATTTATATGTGATACTCTATCACTCAGGTTCTGCGATTCGAGTGGATTTCAACCAAAGGCAATTTGAATTCAGTCGGTTGTGAAGGGCAGAACCTGCCTGATAATTTTTTTGACTCAAACTTGTATATTGGCGGCGGCTGCAGACATAGAGGCAGGTTCTGCAATTCACTTCGGAGTGAATGTCAACCCTATTTAATTAGAATACAAATTGGCTTTGGTTGAAATCCACTCGGAAGTGAATAGCAGAACCTGACTGTATATCTTATCCGTTTCGTCAGTAAAAATTTTGTTCTCCCAGAATCATTCGTTTTGTGTTCAGTTGTTTCACGATAAAAACATAACACGGTAAAACAATTGAGAGGCAGTCTAACGTTTACCAGCAATGTAATTTAGATTTAAATTTCAAAACTCATTTGTCACGTACGCAAAGCAGAACGAGAGAAAGAACGAGGAGTCGTGTTG